AAGGATAATAATATTAATAGTAATAATAATGATAATAATAATAGTAATAATAATAATAGTAATAGTAATAATAATAGTAAAAATAATAGAAATAATACTAATAATAGTAGTACGAATAAAAAATAGTAATAATAGTAATAGTAATAATAATAGCAATAATAATAATAGTAATATACAATGTATATAGGGACATATAGGGACATGCAAGGGTTTGTAAGGATTTGTGTGTGGATCTACAGGACTATCTGGGGATGTATGGTTTGGGGTCTGCGTGTCCAACATACAGCCCTTTGGCCGGTTCCAATGGTAAGGATTCAAGTGGAATCACCATGCGGTGAAGAAGGGATCGGGATAATTGAATGTGCTTCCTTGAGAAAAAAGGGTTGTGCATCCACCCCAATAATGTTCCCCCACAAGGGTTCTGCCCTCACAACACCACAGGACAGTCGGGAGGTTGTTTCCCTCATAGTATCTAGAACTCTGTCTAGAACTCTACTCTAGAACTCCTTCCATCGGAAATCATCAGGTTCTAGGCTTGTGTATATACATATGTACATACATATATCTATATATACATATATATATATACATAATTCCTTCAATGATTCCTTGCATTGCAACACCTTCTAGAGTTCCTCTGGGTATGCTGAAATCCGTCTCATTGCATTCCTCATATCACTCTCAAGAGCCATGCTGGAGGCCCTCCGACCCGCAATCGTATAGTGGCCGATGCATAGGATGCAACCAAAATCGAAGAGAGATCTATATTTGTTGCGTGAGACTTGAGCTGTCTTTGGCCTGCCTGTGACAAGCATCTCAAGGATGAGAAGTTCTCAGAATGAAATTCGTCATGTCACGGTGCATGCAATGCTTTATTGGACTCTAGGCTCTAGACGGAAAGAAGCACATCAGCGACGATGCCATATGATAAGAGCGCACATGATAGTTTTGGGTAGCTTCGAGAATGAAGGTGTAAAGGGAAGAAATAGCCATCCAACAAAACATTGAGGAGTGAGAATTAGGTTTCGCCATCTCCCTGTGTATCGTCATCGCTCGTAAAGGGAGTCTGACTTGAAGTAGCTGCCACCTGGTTCTGGCTGATCCCTTGAATTTTCAAACATGGGAAAGTCCCAGGAAACTCAAAAAGTCATGAACGCAGTACCTCCGCGAGCTAGAACAGCGATGAGGGGCGTGAAGGCAACCACGTCCGTTTCCGCGGAGATCCTGAGTGCACTCGGTGTTTAGGCATTCCCAATGCGTGATCGGCCACTTTGTGCACATGGCGGATCCGTCGCTGCCCGCCGGAAGGTACCGAAACATTGAGCACGCTTCAGGCATGCATCTACATGAAAAACAAGCGTATAACCCTACCAACTTGCGCTTGACAATTTCAATTCCATCAAGGTGTCGTTGCTCCACGCGGGGCTGACTCCAGGAGTGCCTTGCAGCGCAGCACGTCCAGACTTAATGACTTTCCCGCAGAATGCTGGACAGATCGCTGAACCAGTCCAACAATGAATGCCTGCCCAAAAGCTTGCGGCCCTGGACATGCAAACTCCTCAACCCTGAATCCTATCCGAGGCTGAAACCCATCCAGCCCCCGATGCCTTCTCTCCGAAGAGGTCTCCCGGACTGTAGCGCATCACCTCCTGGCAGATCGGAGCAAATGGGGTGCGAAGTCTGGACAGGGCGCCGGGCTTCCAGGTGGTGTAGACATCATCTTTCGGAACTCACGCACACTCCAATTCCTAGTAGGCCCGGACAAAAGATCATCCAGCTTAAGCGGGAGGGTCCTTGCACAATCCAACGTCCACAGCTCAGAAAACCCATAAAACCTGGCAAGATCAGGTCCTGATGGCTGTTTCCAGACTGGACTGTCGCGACGCACTCCTCTGCGAACCCGTGTGATGACTGCAACACCTCCTACTACAGATACTGCTACCACCACCACCACCACCACCATCATCACGCACCGCCGCCGCTGGCGCCACCGCCACCGCCACCACCCCCGTCACCACTACTCCCACCGACAGACCCCTGCTACTGCTACCACCACAGAGGAATAACATGATTAATCTTGCCTGACAAAGAGGTGCCTGAGTGCCGCGCCCCTTCATCGAGGATATAGAACTCCTTGCCAGGATCGCCCTGGCGGATGATGATGTCGCCAGCCCTCAGACACCATGAGAAGTCTCCCACCATGCAGATCGAAGGAATCGGGCTCCAGTCATGATCTCAACTTTGACCCAGTAAACCAGAGCTCGGAGGGGTTCTCAGCACTGCCAGGTCACTTGAAGGTTTGCTTCGTCAGCAGCACGCCGATCTGATGAACCTGTGCGGCAGGCCCCAAACTCATCAACCACAGCAATACATGTCATTGGCGATGCATGTAATACAGTAACATCCTTCCGAAAAAGAACCCGCTGCTGTGAACGTCGGATGGCTACAGTTCATCGGAAGAAGACAAATCATCTGCGTGCCATGAGAGAGCGGCCATCAGCAATGTTAGTTGCTGAGCACTGTGGTCTCCACGATCCACCCCAAAAGCAAATCGAATAGCATTGGAAGTGATGTAAAAGGAGCATATCCCAACCGGCCAAACCACGGCTTCCAGCAGGGCTCACAGTAGTTCCACGTGCGGCCCCGAGTGCTGTACGTGACATCCCATGGAATCAATACATGTACCCTGTGGAAACTGACCCAGTAATCTACAGGCCTTTTGCAAGAAAGTCCGAATTGACAGGATGCATGCAAAGACCAATTGAGACATAAACTTCACCAAATGATATCTGCTCTCCGCACATACCCCTGAGGTCTAAGTCTGAAGTATATGTCCAGAAATACCCTGCGACGAAGCCTGCTCGTCGGTCATTGTTTCGAAGAGCTTTGAACTCCGTATGAGCTCTTCCTGCCAAATCTTTTCCACGATGCATAACTTCCATTAACAGCGAAAATGTTAGTTTGTGAGAATAGTCGAAGCAAAGACCGCTGCGATTGCGCAATAGGAGTTTTTGGTGCTCAGCAGGCATGGCTTCGACCTTTAATGGTGAGGAATCAACCAGGTGCATTTGCATTGACTTGCACAAGTCTATAATTCTGGGTGGGCTAGGCTACTGCTGGAACCCCCAAGCAATAGCTTTTTGGGGGGTGGTTCATTACTAGCCCGGGAGGTGATGTTGACTCCAAGGCTTCCGAACATACTCGACTCTCTCCTACAGATCCCGAGCAAAAGAGGAGAAAACCCTCTTTCATGTGCCCATGTGCCTGAACCATCTGGCAACCACCGTCAGAGTGACATCGTCACTTAGGCTTGAAAGCTTGGTTGTATCAGTTGAGGTTGCATATCCCGCATATCCCCAAAGCGCTGATATGACTGTGGTCAAAACCTTTAATGAATTCCTGACGCGCCATTTTTGGAAAAGCGTTGGAACGCTGGGTATCAGTACTACAAAGCCTTGCTGGCCCTCTAAACCCAGAAAATGGGTAGGGGCTCGTGTTGCAGGGACCCATCAAAAATGGTGCCTTGTGATCCCGAGCGCGAATGACAGCCACAAAGTCCTCCCGATTTAGCCTCGGCTTGGGAAATTACCAAAGTTGCAGGACTCTGAAGAGTTCTTGTGAATGGAAACCCCATATTGGGGATAAGGACATGCCTCCCAAACTACAACCCTGCACGACTAGAATAATGTTCTCAGAGTTTGAGAAATACCTTTCAGGAGCCTTCTGGAACTAATGCTGGCGAATCTGACAACGAGAGCACCTAACTCCTAGGCGTATACCGCACAAAACCGCCGCAAAACCGTGGGGTCCCGATCCCTGAAGCAAGCTAAGGATTGGTTCACCGTCATCTTACAACAACTTTTATCCATGGCCCAAGACGAAGCCAACCACCCGTCGACGCTTTGGCCAAGCCACCGAAAGACAGCAGCCTGTCAGCAATCCGCAAAGGGGTTTTGCATATGGTGTATACAATGCACCTTACATGACACGAGGATACCCAATATGATAGAAGGGGCATTTCTTGATCAAGGGTGATGGGGTCTTATGCAAACGGACAAGTTGTGCATGTCCAGAGTGGCACCTCAACCTTTGCGATGAGCCATGGGAGCCTCAAAGGCACCCGATGGGAGGCCTCGAATAACAATGGGTCTACGAGAGCCCTCAAACCCCATTCCTCACGTCCATCCGTCCAAAACCCTTCACAATCTCTTTGGTACTCTTTTTGACAATATGCCCATAATATTACACCCATGACACCCACATACCCCGTATTCTGCGTACCGCTTCTAACCTCTGACCATGGCCACGGCATGCCACGGCCTCCTCGTCGGCAAGCACGGTGGCTGCGCGGGGCTCGTCGCGTAGCAGTGCCCGCTCGCCGAAACCCTCGCCTGGCAGGACTCGAACGGCATTGGAAGAATTTGTGTAGATTTTATAGGGATTTATAGGGCGTTGAAGGGAGTACACAGAGGCTTCATAACAGGGAGAGGGAGTACACAGGGGGTTTATAACAGGTAGAAAAGTAGAAATCATACAGTGGCCACCTTGGCTTACATGAAAGTGTTGTGTTAATTCGGAATTGGAAGGGCTCTTTTGTACCATGAGATTATGTAGCCAATGTAGCCTCTTCCTGCTTCGGTTGTTCTTGCCGTATTACATCGCAAACCTGAGCACAACCGAAGTCGGGTCATTGCAGGCGCTTCGCTTGAGCGGACGATGGGTCTTTTCCGCAACAGTTTCTATTTCATTGTCCTCGTGCTGCTCCATCCAAGAAGCACGGCGTTTTTGAAAGTCTGTTAGGATGTTGGAGGTCTGTTAGGCTGTCACGCATTTTCCACGTGAGACAAATTAGGCCCGCAAAAACTGGTGGTCTGATTCGCAACTGAAGGCAAAATGACTGATACTTCCATCTTTCTCCACTCTGAACAACGGATGCTCTCGTTTCAAGAAATGTTTGTTGCCACCGGTATCTCTCTTGCCATTGGAGCCCACTGCAATTGCTATGATCGCTCGCTGCCTGGGCTGTACTCGCGAACCTCCCGGAGGCCCTCGGCATCTTGTACCTGAGAGGACAGCTGTGAGCGGCGAGTCTGGCAAAAAGATTCTCTGGGAACCTAATACATTGGGTTTAATATAGGTACCCATTGGGGTAATATTAGGGCCATTAGGGTTATATTAGGATAATGGAGAAGAAAATGGAAACTAAGAAGCCACATTACAGCCTGTTCACTCCAAAGTCTCCACCAAGTCAGTGGATGATTGAGACGTGGTTAGTATGAGGGACAGGAAAGACCTCATTCTGTGCGGGTTTCCTGCAGGGCTCCTGCCAGTTATTGATATTGTCCGGGCTGCCGCTGCTCGATTGCAGTTGGCAATGATCATCGTTTTATTCCGTGCTTGGGATTACGAAAATTCTCCAAGTGGCTGCGATTAGTTGCACGGTTGCTATGAACAGTGGCTCTGCCTTGGGGTACGTCGCTTCTGCCAGTGAACATGGGAGCTTGTTGCTTCTGGTGTTACTCTAGATTCAAGTTCATTGGATGAAGCAGTTTACTCGCACCCCCACAACAACGAAGACGACGATGGCCACGGCAACCGCCATGATCACGATCGATCACGACCACAACCGCCAGCGGCAACGGCAGCAAGAGGCGGTGGAGGCGGCGGAAGCGGCGGCGGTGATTTCTGCCAAGACGTGATTGAACACGAAGTCCCTCACAAGCAACGCCCCGCCAAGTAGCATGAGCGGAGCAACGGCCGGAGTCGACGATGAAGAAGTCGAAGGCCTCCTCCTGGTGGATTGTGATCGAGTTTAGGAACCCAAGGCAGAGGTGTTCTGCTGTAGGATCAGGGCTAGGCTACAGGGGCTTTGTAAGTTGAGCATCTTTGAGCTGTAGAGTGGGATGAACACTTTGAAGGAGTTGGGTCAGCACCAGGTTGCTCCCTCCTCCTCCTGCTGCTCCTCCTCTCCCCTCCTCATCCTTCTCCTTCTCGTTCTCTCCTCCTCATCCTCCTCTACCTCAACTTTTTCTTCCCACGATCCCTGGAGTTGTTGCCATGCTCACCACACCTACCATTGCCAAGATCCCAACACCCCGAAAATTGACCATTGACGTTAGTCCCCTTCCGTCAACTATGAGCACTCATGCGTCCCATTACAGTCTGCTTGGAGAGTACAGGGTAGTTGAGTGGCGATTGGCTACCAAAACTGTAGGCGCCTCGTGTAGTTATGACTCATAACTGTAGCTACAACACACGTATAACCTCATTCAAAGTTCTCTCAGAGCCTCATTCAAAGTTCTCTCAGAGCTCGTACTAGCTCCCTACATCTCTTTCCAGAGAGTGCCCAACCCCTATACAGGGCTGCTGTTAAGGAACTTCGCTTAAGTTAGTATATTGGAGAGACCCTACTATTTACTATCCGTATATATGTATACCCATTATGTTAAACTAATTTAATTTCCGTATCAGCAGCTCTAAACCCTCAACCCCTGCTTCCATTTCATGTTCCATTTTCTTGTCCAATTGATTCTCCATCATTATTGGGGGGGGAATGTCCCTATATAACCCCTAGGTAACCCCAGGAATTCCATCCTGAACCCTAAACCTTACACCCTAATGCTAACCTGGTAAACCCCTATGTAACCCCAGGAAGTCCATCAAAAAGCCCAAAGCCCGTAGCCACCTCGCCCTGGCGGATGATGACGTCCCCCGGCAGGAAACGCACCAGATGCAGCCGCTGCGCTACCTACTAAAAGTTGGTTTGGTGTCTAGGGTTTAGGGTTTAGGGCTAGGGGTCGCCCTTGGGCACCCGCAACAGGAACATAGGGGAACCCCAATAAGTTCAGGGTCTATGGTCCTAGCTAAGTGCCAAGGAGGCGTTTAAGGTTTGGGTATGAAGGAATGGCGTGAAACATGAAATAATTTCTCTGTTGTTGGGGATTGTATGTGGCTACTATATGGATCCGGTCCTTCATTGCCTCCTAACAACCGACAAGAAGAAAAGTGGCAATTTCTGTGGGCTGTAGGGGGCTAGGATGTAAAGTTTCATTTTTTTCGGCAGCTCTGTGACGACTGATTTGCAAGGGTTTTTTGATGCAAAGAACTCTTGAAGAAGAGCATAATACTCTCCAACTTGTAGAATGATTGTGAGGGTAATTGCAGTGGTTTCCGTCCTTGGGGGGACGGTATGTAAGGTCCCTACGTGGTACGTCCCCTCCTCTAGTTGCCTACATTACAAGCAGTCTTTTGTGCTGTCGGGCTCCGCCTCTGGAAGCACAGCCATTTGAGGCCGCAATCTCAAGAATAGTCGATCTGTTGAGAACAAAAGGCAAACAAGCACCGCGCAGCTGACATGAGGACAGCTGGCAGCAAGGTGTTGACCATTTGGGATACGTGACTATAGCCTGATTCAAACGGCCAAGATGCGATGAGATCATAAGGCAAGTCTTGATATACACATGCTCAGACCATGGGCATCTGTTGCAGTCCTTTTGACTATATGAGCCGAACACTTTTTTCGACAACCCCGTGAAATGACGATAAAGATGACGAATAACTCCACGTAACAACAGCCGAAAAGGCAGGGAAGCAGAAGGAGTGATGGTGGGCGATGACCCCGGTGGCGGTTGGCGGTTAGCCGGTGGCGTTTGCGGTGGCGGCTGTAGTATCTTGCAGGCTTGTATCCGGTCGGGGTACAAAAAATAACTCAGTTCACTGCACTCGCGCAAAAAAGGCTCATTTAGCTGAGTTCGTGGACAAGGGCGCTCATACCCGGGCTATGCCATGGAGCGCAGTAGGGTTTCCCCGAGCATCCATGTTGGCCAAGATAATAAGGTTTGTGTTATGAAAGCATACGGTTTCCAAGAGCAGCCATGCTAGTCGAGATCATCATCATCGTCATAATCAGCGTCACACAGCCAAGACAGAGATAATCATGTTCGAGTTACCAGAGCATACGGTTTCTACGAGCATCCTTGCTGGCCAAGATAAGAACGTTCTTGTTACAAGAGCGCATGGTTCGCGGCTTGGGGGTTGTCAAAGGGCTTATTTCATCGTCTTCGTCGTCATTTTAATGGTGGCGGTGTGACTCCTCCACTGCCCCTCCCAAGATGTCTTGCAAGGTGCCTCAGCGATCTCAGCCTCTCCCAAGTGCCTGCGAATGGAGTGGCTCTTCGTGGATTTAGAGGCCGGGGCTTGGCTTCTGCGGCTAGTGGTCTGGGGCATGGAATTTCAGGGGTTTTGAGGGCTTAAAGCTTAGCAGGTCGGACTGCGGGATGCAGACTTGGCTGATACGGGGGCAATGATCTCTTCACGTGTTTCCTACCTGCCCAGACATGGCCCTGCAAACCTATGTACCACCCTATGTACCACCCGCGCATGTCAACTCTGCAACTGCAACTTCCAGGTTTATGCGGCTGCGGCTACTACTGAATTTGTGCGGAAGCCTCTACCACGGAGCATGAACTTCTCTTCAAAATAACAATATTTCTGACTTTGTGATCCCACACTTGGCAAAAGTTCTGCAGCAATTCCGAGAGGCCTGAAAACAGGCAGTTCGCGAACTCTCTGCTCCCTGTGATCCTGGGCCAGCAGGCACAGTTCAGCAAGAACTGTGCGGAATGGACGTAGACTTTCAGCCAGGGGCTTTGCGCAACACTTCTATCGACGCAGCCGATTCAGCACTGACATCTACGTATGCACCCGTTTTACGAAATCACTGCATGCCCCCAGAAGGATTCTGCAAAAGCTTGGCAAGATGGTTCGACGAGCTTGCAGGAAACACTGGCTTCACAAGGCTCTGTTTTGCCGGACCCTTGGCCCGCCTGCGCATCTGCACGGTGCAGATAGCCATTGGCGCGGCTCTTGCTGCAGTCACCTCGAAGTTGCGCAGTTGGGCTTGGGCTTCGAGACTTGATATTTCAGAAAATGCTGACAGGGATATGGCTTAAAGGGTTCGGCAACAACAGGCGGACTATTTGGCCTCGTTCGGTGTTGGGGCGCGAACAATTATTACACCTGAACCAGTCTTTGGACGCTGCAGGAAGGCTAGTTCATCCTAAGATGCCATGGCTTGTCTGCAGAGTTCTTTTGTGGGCCTTCCTGGAACACCAACTGCTGCAATTTCATATGGGCGTGCAATCGTCTTAGCAGTGTTTTGAACTCCCTGTGACTTCAAAACACGCCCCTCACTTCATAGCCCTGCCGTGGAACTCACGGAATTCGACTGCGACTAGGACTAGGAGATCGTGGATCCCAAAGCCTAATCGCAGTCCGAATCAGAAGTCCCATGCAAGCAGGCAAGTGCCCATGCAAGTGTGAAGTCTACATCACTCCCGCACATAGCCAAGGAGCAGCTGCAGGAAGAGCCCATCGCAGGAGGATGGGTAGTGTCTAAACGTTCAGGGTTAGAAGTTAGAAGTTACTGTGACGTGACTGTAGAGAGAAAGGTGCGGGCTGCTTAAAAGGAGCTTCTGGTAGCTTTATCGCTGAGCTTGGGCACGCTTTGGCCCGAAGCCAAAAGAGCCAATTCGCCAGTGCTTCGGGGTCATCCAGCTTCTAACACTTGAGATGAGTGGGTCAAATCAGAAGGTATGCACCAAGATTATCCAAGATTCCTGCATCAATCCATGAGCCCGAAGGCAACTCTTGAGCCCCATTGTCAGTCAATGCAAAGGTGTATTCGCAGGTGCAGTCCCGACTCTGGCATTGGACCCCAAACTCTTTTGTTACGTGTTGGTGATTACTGTGATGGCATCGCCTTCGAATCGCACGTGGCAGCGCCCAGATTGCACAGACGACCACCAAGTGCGCTCATGACGTGTTAGCTTAACAACTGCTACAGGCTATCTGCACGGTGTCCCCAAAATGCCCTCTGGCACAATCTGCAGGAGCCCTGAACCCACGGACCCATCCCTCGTTCGGACAGACAATTGCGACCCTCCTGTGCGCAGCCCAGCAGAAGCTGCTCAGCCGAATGCTGAAGCCGCGAGTGCGTGGCACACCTGGGGTGGCTGCAGGTGGCTTGGGGCAGCATGCTCATAACACCTGAGTGGGCTGTAAGTTCTGAGGTCAATGGACCACGGGGCACCCGGAAGGTTACTGTTGCAAGTAGCACCGTTGGCACCTACTAAACCTTGTTGTGAAGAGACAGGCCTGGACCCAACAACAGGACTTGCAAGTTACAAGCACTCTTGCACAGTCTCTCCTTTTACAGCTGCCAGGTTTCAGGCAGTTGCGGTCCGCCAGCCAAGCCTCCACTGTTTGGTGCTTCAGCTTTCGGATTTAAGGTTCAACGTTTGGGGGTCCGTGTTTGGCTGCCCGATGGTGCTGCACATGCCGAGCTCTGATTGGCTGTTCAAACATCGCATGAGAAAAAACCTTTACCCCAACTTTCAAGCCACTACAGGGTAGGCGAGCACGAAGAAGAACACGCAGGCAGTGGCACAGGAGAGAGTGATTTCCCAGAGGGGCATATAAGCGTGATAGCTTGAAGATGAGCGCCGTGCGGTCCTAATGGCGTAAGCCCTCTCACAACAATAACAGTGCAAACTCGAAGCTCATCCCATCTACAGAGCGAAGTCTTCTGGATCACGTAGCTCTGATACGTTTTAAGTCCCACAGTCCAGCACCTACAAAGGCGTCCCAAAAGCTCATAAACCGAAAGCGCAAAATCTAGGTTGGAAGACTTGGGATATCTTCCGCATGGACTACGTAAGCTGCTCTGGTTATGGCTTGTGTGATGCAGTTGCCAAAGCTGCGGACTCGCAACCTAGCCTGATGGTATTGCTCCTGCAGCAGCTAGAACCACCTGCAGGGTGAAGATGCTGGAGGTCAAGACTCAAACAAGTGGAGGGTTTAGGGGCCTGGTTGGGCCAAGGTTTGGATCAGTAGTGACTCTGATGCATCTTTGACTGTATTCCCGGTCCCATCTACTCAGGATGATAAGCAGGTGTCATGAAGACATGACATCTCTGCTCAATGATGTGAACTTCTGCCTCCCAGTTCTCAAGCTTCATGAACCATCAGTCGTACCTACAACAGTGCTGAGTTCCAGGACCGGACCCGGACCATTGAGTCCGGAGCCCTCAAGTCTGCACCAGGACACTACCTCAAATATCGAACAGGCCCCTCCGGTACTATATCCAGGACTGGGTGAGGAGTTACTCCACATCACCCCACACCCGGACGGTAGGTGCCCTGCCAGGTTTGGCTCCAGCGCCAGGCCCAACATCTCCTCACAGTGCGGCCGTAGCGGCGGATACCGGCTATAGAATGACAGCAGGAGGAGCACCAAGAAAAGGAAAAGTAGTAGCGGTAGTGCGTAGGAGTAGAACAGAAGTAGGAACGGCCTGCTGCCAATTTGCTACTAGTACCCATTCTGAAGTAGAGACGCTACCGTTTCAGGGAGCATGTGAGGGCGCATACCCACCTTGTTTTTGCAGGCAGCGGACCTGCCTGCAGCAACGAGTAGGACTGCGATGGGGGACATGATCCCACCAAAGCTGTGAACCTCATATGTCGGCATTGCAGTTTGGGCTATTGAAGTATGGAGAAGGGCGGCTTGCCTTTTAGCAGTTCCTCAGACTTCCCAACTGGTTCGCTTGGGCTTGTGGGTCATGCTGCAAGCATGACGTCTCAAAGTCCGAACTCCTGAACTGCATTCTACCCAAATCCAGAACTGTGCCAGGAAACACTCAATGTTGCCTACATGGAGCTGACTCTCAATTGCAGAGGGACAAACAAGAT